TTACGAAATATCCTGGTCTGACATACCGTGCAGATTTTAGGAGGAACCAAGAGTTGTTGCCGGCGACGTGAGGGTGGTGGTGCGGTTGTGTCTGTTGTGTGCTCTGTCGTGGTTATGGTGTGGTCTATTGTGTTGTGGTGCTGTGGTGTTTGTGTTGAGCTGCTCAGTTGGACTGGGGTTAACCGTGAAGGCTGCTCGGTTTGAGCAGCAGGGGGCCAGAAATGATGTGGTCCACTGCCGGTGGGTCCGAAGTCCTGAGCAGACACTGAGGGACTCCACCCGTCGCAAGCATTGCACTTGACTGAGGTGGAGTTGTGGGGTAGTCGTCTCTAGCATACACAGCAGGTGTACATAGGTATCTGGCCCTGGGTTTGACTGGATGCCAGCCCTGAACAGAAGAATACGTTGCAACTGTAGCACTATGGACGAACAACCTCTGATTCGGCTATCGTGGGAATGTTCGCAATAGGCGTATTTTGCATGAACCAATTAGAACAGATCTGACCGGCTGAGAAGCAGCCATTTGCAATTGAGAAAAAAGTGTATGACGTTCGTAATTTTGAAGTTTCCTATTTCTCTTTTGCTTATTTCTTTATGTGTATTTTGTCGGTGGTTCATTTCAGTGATTTTTAAGCGATTTTCAATGGCTCCGGAGTTACAAACGTCAACCAGAAAATTACTTGTTTCTTTTGCTTCATCTTGTCAGATCTTGTGTAGTTGGATCATGGGTGTTTTGTTTCGGTTTGCTTCATAATTCCGCTTTGACAGATAAGTTCAATGCATGATTTTGTATGAGTCTTGCTAAATAGAATGCGAGTAAAAAAAAGCAAAGCAAAATCATGGGCAACTCGCAACATTTGCGCGCTTTGGCAATCAGTAGTATATTCGTAATGAAATGAAATAAAATAAGATAAGAGACCTTCTTGAGAAAACAAAATTTGTATACTTAGAAAAAAAATAAAAAAATTCAACTATATTATTAGGCAAAGAATTGTTAAATAAAGAACACTCTTTCACCTAAGGCAGTTAATATGGCGGAATTAGAGCGAGAAGTTGCCAACCGATAACACCTTGTATTATTGGGCCCTTTCACACGGTCAGTATTTATTGACGTGATCTAAGTATCGCGATATTTATTGACGGTGTAGCATGCAATATTGATGGATCGCGATCCATATCGCAAAATTTCTAAGAATTTGGAAATATGGGTCGCGTTTCGCAAAACCGTCAATAAATATTAAACGTGTAGCATTTTCAAAACGCGATCCATATATTTCGTCAGTACATATTGGACTCCCATAATGCGAACATCGAAAACGTATTCGCATCGCCTTCGCTCTCGGTGCTTAAAACCCTTCAAAACAAATTGAAAGTATTTAAATTAAAATTGGAAATTTTTAAAAAATTATGGAAAGCATTATCTGTAAATTATTCGTACAAAATAAGAATATTTTCGGTAATTATCTAGGTGGGCTTTCAACCCCTAAAACTGATCAAAATTTAGGAAAGGGGGGACCATTAGACGCCCCTGGACCCCAGTAACAAGAATCCAAAAGCGGAAATTAACTTTTTTACCCGATCAAAAGTTATTAAGAAAAAACTTCTTCACAATAGCACCTTTTTTATTCACTAAATACCAGGGTGGGCAAAAACTCGGAGTTCGAGCGGGCGAGTGAGCAAACTCCTACTCAATGCCTCGCAGACAACGAGGCGCTCGCAGCTCGTACTCGTAGCAGCAATGAGGCGAGGCACGAGAAGTTTGGCTCGCTCGCCATTCGAGCGAGCGCTGCTTGTTTGCTCGTGCTCCTATTAAATGAGCGAGGCTGTTGGGTGTTGCCTCGCTCGCAGTGCGAGGCGAGTAGCTGTCTGCATACTCACTCTGCTAGGAAAGACGAGTGAGCGACGAGCGAGCGCTCCGAGTGTAGTATACAACACATGCATTTTTGTGCATACAAATGTGGGAATGTAAGTCAATAGATTATGTACGAAAGTATGTTAATAATTGTATGTATATATGCATATATATATGTGAAGTATTATATTAGGGCAGCATTTAAAACAACAAATAAAATTGAGTACATACATAAGCATAGATTATGGAATGAATTATTTTTTAGAGTTATATTCATACATGTGTACACACATAACATGCATATTTATATATGTTTGTATGTACGTATTTATGTATATATGCATTTATATATGTATGTACATATGCATGTATTTTGTCTTTACAGAGAAAAGTAAGTAACGAAGATATTATAATCGTTTGTGCCGCAGAAACAAAAAACAAGTAAGCACTTGCTAACACCCCCAAAATAGTTTTCTACTTGTAGCAGTTAAGCTGTGTACCTAAATGACATATAGTCCTTGGTGAAAAAATTTATTTGTGGCCTGTTGTTCAAGGACATGTGTACATATGTATGCATGTATATATGGATATGTAGACATGGGAAAATTTGCGTAAACAAAGAATAGAGACCGGTTCGCATACAACTTTGGCGTTGCGTTGGCGTCGAATTTCAAAGCAGCCGTCCACATATCCAAAATTTGGCAACGCTAAGGCCAACACAAAGCAGAAAGATCGCTGCGTCGGTCGCCAGCTGTTGCAAATAAATAAAATTAAATGAAATGTTTTTTCCTTTTAATCAAATGAAGGCAAGAAATATATTTTTCATGCTATTATTGATATGAAATATTAATTTATTTCTCGTTAAAATGTTAATTTAGTGGCCAAAGTAGTCTCTGCCAAGCTTCATTGTAGAACGCATACTTTTAACGTGCGTTCTGTCAAACCAACGCCAACTACAAAGTCAACGCGAAAGTTCTATGTGGACCAGCCTTAATTATCAAATAGTAGTTTGTATTATCCTACATACATATATATGTATGGGGCTAAACCAGGAATATTCATTTGAAAATGCTGATGTCCTACTCATTTATGAAATGAAAGACAAAATAATGATTTTTATAAATATTATGTTCTCATTTATACATATGTAACATAGTTACTTAGTCAAATTACTTAGTAATTACTTGTATGTAAGAATACAACAACAAATTACACTAAGTAACAAAAAAAAAAATTTCTCAGTCCTTGGGATGTAATTGTTATTTCCTAGTCTGTTATGCCTTAAAAGTATGGAAACCACCTAATATTCCTCGGAAACTTTGCTTTTGTGACGCTTCCTCTGACATGTGACTTTAACACTAGGATCCAGCAAATTCCACTGCATCAGTCTGGACGTCAAAAGTTCAGCATCGGACTTGGTTAGACCAAGATCTCTGATCAAATCATTCATGTCCTTTTGGTTGGGATAGTATGGGTTTTTGTTATCAGCTAGTAAATTAAATCCTTCACCTTCATTGTCTTCCACACTCATGGAATCAGGGCTCTCACAGGAAGACACCTGCTCTTTCTCTGGAGGAGTAGGAACGGGGCGGTCAGAGCTGTGTGGAACTGGAGCCATGGATGAAGAAATGTCAGGATACATGATTTGACTTGCTTTTTTGCCAGTCCGACGTTTGGAAGGGTCCACCATGCAGAAAAAGCAGTTGCTTGAATGGTCAGTGGGTTCTCTCCAAACTCTTGGCACAGCAAACTTCATAGCTCTCTTTTCCCCTCTGTACCATCCTGAAAAAAAAAATTAGAAAAGAAAAGTACTGTCTAATAAAAAAGTTAATAGAAACATTTATTTTACCCATAACAAAGCAATATAGTTTTAAAATGTCTTACCTTCCAAAGTCCTTTTGCAGTTTTCACACGCGAAATAAGGTACCCAGGATTTGTCTTGATCACCCACAGGCATGCCGAAATAAGCATTGTAAGCTTCGCACATTTTAAAACCTGTTTCCAAAGAGTACTTATTCGCTCTTGTTTTGATAAAATATCCGCAGACATAACAAAATGCATCTGCAGGATACTTGCAGCCTCGTGAAGCCATGTTTGAACGAATTTATCTGTAATAAAATAAGAAACAACTCTCAATAAATCACAAAAATGTTGCAAAATTTATTGCGACGACTTTGTTGTTTTAACTAGTGTTGGGCAGTATCGAGTACTTTTGTGTATTTACTACTTTGGTATCGATACTTTTAAGCATCGGGTACTGTCGATACTTTTCAGCATCGAGTACTGAGTACTTTTGGAATCGATACTGCCCAACACTAGTTTTAACACACACAAATGTAGAGAAAACAAGTTGTATGCGCTCGTGTATCAGTTTTCAATAAACAAGCATAAAAATAAACGCAGATAAGCGCTGCCATGGTCACAAAAGCAAAGTTATCTTGCGACAATAGCTGTTTTCTATACTTTTGGGACCTAACTGACTAGGAAATAACAATTACAACCCAGGGACAAAAACCTTGTTACATAGTGTTATTTATCAGAAGCATTGCCCCTTGCATATTGAAAAAAAGTAATAAAAGCTCTCAAAAAAGCAAAATCGCTACAGCGAAAAGTGTTTGAAAACAGCATAAATTCAAATACGCATAAAAAAGAACCGCATAAAAAGAGACCTAAGTGTATAAGTTGAAATTTTATAAGAAATTATTGAACATTAAAAACATTATACCTACATAGATATGTATGCACATATGTGCCTACCTAGTAGATAAAACTGGGCCAAATAGCACGAATCTATTCTTCTGTGCATGAGAATATATATGTACAAACATATGTGTATAAAGATATGTATGTATATACATATCTGCATGCGTGCATACAATCCTTTACTCGAAATTCCTAGTTGCTGCAATTTTTATCCCATACATTTTTGCCGACCAAACAACGCGTTTGCCTGTCTAATCTGCTTGCCTCATTTGCCTCGCTCGTCTGCTGCTGCAAATGAGTGCCTCGCTCGCAACGACGCCCTGACGAGGGCAGGGCTAATGAGGCCCTCGTTTGCTTGCCGCTCTACTCTTGCGCTGCCCTCGTTTGCTTACTCGCTCGCTGGCTGCTCAGCGCGTGCGCTCGTACTTAACGAGTGCTCATTTGCAAACAGCGTCGCGTGTTGCTCGTGTGTTGCGCTAGCTCAGTGCAAGCTAACGAGCGAGCGAGGGGCTAAAATGAGGCAAATCCGAACCCTGCTAAATACACATACACAAACGCACAAATCGCCCATATTTCACCATACATACAACAACAATACTTCATTTTAGCCCCATATGTATGTCAAAATATCGCTAAATGTATCACTAAAAACTTATATATTTTATTTATTATAATGTAAACAATTTTGGCGTGATCAACGCAAAATTCACTTGCTGATGTGCGGTATTGCCACTCTCTAGCACTCCAAATTAATACAATTACCCAACGTCTACACCTACCAACTATTTCCGCGTGCCTTTAAGAATGCGGTTTATAATGCAATGCAACCCTCTTTAAAAATTTGGAATTGGTATGGGGTGGCATTACGATTATTACAAATTACATTAATTAATTTATATTTTTTTTTTATTACAAATTTTCGCCTGCGGCGCTTTTTTTTATAGAACTCCATACATCGATATATAATGAAAATTTTAATAAAAAATCGCGCTATATCCTATTGATACTTCGATATATAATGAGCATTTTTTTAACCGTTTAGTTATTTCCACAATTATCCCACATAACAGTCCGTACTCCGTGTAAACATATTCAATATTTATTCCATTCAGATTGAGTGGCAATACCGCACATCAGCAGGTGAATTTTGCGTTGAGCACACCAAAATTGTTTACATTTTAATTAATAAAATATATAAGTTTTTAGTGATATATTTAGCGATGTTTTGACATATATGACTAAAATGAATTATTGTTGTTGTATGTATAGTGGTTCGTTTCACAACGTTCGTACTGTGCGGTCGCTTAAACATTCGTTTTAAAGAACTCCTAAAGTTGCTTTGTTTATCTCAGTGCTAAGCAGTTCTAATTTGTGTAATTTATACTGGAAAAAGCTTTTTGAAGCCAAGCTCCAATAAATTGTTGTGTTTTAGACATAAAGTGCGTGGATTAAAAATTAAAAAAAATTAAAAATTAATATTCTTGTCATTCCTTGGGCATATTTGCCTCTTTTGGTGCATTAGTGTTGTTTTGCGTGAGAGTGCATTTTCCCATTTTCCGTGATTTATCATACATTTGGCTTATCATCAATCAAATAGTTTTCCTGCTTGCTTTTATGCTTTTAAGCTTTTTGGCGCAGTGGCTTTAAAACTGTGAAGTTCAGCACGGTTTCTAACCATTGAACTTACAATACCTAGACTTCTGTGTCTCTCAAACGCTCATCTTTGCTACTATCGTACTAAAAGCGTACACTGTGAGTTTTTCTTGTGCATACATACAAATTGTTGCTACTTCGCGCTGCAATGTATTCATCCTGCTGTTTTGAAAAATGTAACATTAAAAACGACTTAGAGCGTTGCGTTGCGTGTTGGTTGTGTGATGACTTAGCTCACGTAAAATGTGCTGGTCTCAATGGTAGGGTGGCCGATATCATAACCGATAACAAAGGTGTTCGTTGGTCTTGCCCCAAGTGCAGATCAACCGAAGTTGAGCTTTGTAAAACGTTTAGGAGCGCCAGAAGTGGCTTCCAGGAGTTGGGTAAGGAGTTAAAACTTCTAAACGAAGAGTTTAAGCGATATGAAGATGCATTTAAAGACTTTAAGTGCATTGAATCTTCATCCTCTCCATCACCCAAGCTTAAACAAGCTTCAAAAAAGCGGAAGCATGGAGGAGACAGCATTGTTCCTAATCCCATTGCTTTAGACATTGACACTCCGCCAACTGATTCTTTGCCTTCTGCCGGCTTAAATAAGGAACTAATAAGTTTTAATTCTCCGTGTGTTGAGTCATCTCAAGCTGCATCTTCCTTAGGTGTCACTACAAGGGCAGCAGCAAAAACGACAGCTGAACCTACATCTCAAAGCGGACCTTCTCCGTTACAGAAAGAATTAGTCGTAGTTCCTGCGAATAAATCTGTGTTTGTTTCGAGCTTTTCTAGTGAAACGTCGGTAGAAGATGTTAAGTCTTATATAACATCAAAGTTTAATCCCCGGCACATAGCTATTAGAAAATTTAATTTTTCATACGAAAGAAGCATATCTTCCTTCAAAATTGATATTTCCAGTTCATTTTGGCCCAATGGTGCTTTAGTTCGTGAGTTTGAGTTTAAACCTCGAGCTCGGAATGAAAATACTGTTCAAATTCCCTCCTCAGGATCAAAAAACTTATAAGTAATTTTTTCTTCAATATTTATTACCAAAATCTTAGAGGTCTAAATACAAAATTAACCGAGCTGTACTTAAAGTCTTTTGATTTAAATTATGAAATTTTGGTTTTTACTGAAACTTGGCTAAAACCGAATGTGTTTAATAGTGAAATATTGTGTAGTAAGTATGAAATATTTAGAAGTAATCGCTTAGATAGAAAAGGTGGGGGTGTTTTAATAGCTGGTCAGACCGACTTTTCCTCTGAAAAAGTTGTATTCACAGATTCAGAAGATGTTGAATTCCTCTGTGTTAGAATACGGTGCCCCTCAAGTAGTGTTTTTCTTGTTGCAATTTATATTCCACCAAACTCTAACCCTTCTGTTTACTTTAAATATTCTTCACTATTGCTCTCTTTATTTGCCATGGTCAAGCCCTCCGATTCGTTTGTTGTGTTGGGTGATTTCAATCTAGCGTGTGTTTCCTGGGATTCGGAGGATGGAATTCTGGTGCCAAATTCTTCTCGGGATGTGCATAACCAATTTCTTAACGAACTTTCCGATCTTGGTATATATCAGATTAATTCAGTTATCAACAACTTAGGTAAATGTCTTGATTAGCGTTTAATGATGATACTGCTAAATGCGCTATAATAAGCGGCGATCCTTTAGTTATACCTATAGACCCTTATCACACATACCTTGAGTTGTCCTTGGCACCATCCTACGATTCACGTTATTGTCCTGAAACTAGAAAGCCGAAAGGTCGGCGATATTCTTTCAAATACGCTAACTACGACAGGATTAAAATAGCTATATCTGAAATAATCTGGCCTGAGTACGATGGTGATGTTGAGAATAGTAAAATCTGAGAATTTAGTAAAATCTTGAATAATATATTCAGTAAACTCATTCCTCTTGTTAAAGAAAATACCGGACCTCGTAACTCGTTGTGGTTTAACCCAGAGCTAAAGCATTTAAAAAATCAGAAAACGAAATCATTTAAACTTTATAAAAAATCAGGCCTGTCTTCTCACTACGCCGCGTACTCCATCCTTCGTCATAAATACAATGCCTTAAACAGAAAATGTTACAGGAATTACATTAATCAAACTCACATTAACATCGTTTCTAGGCCCAAGTAATTTTATCATTTTGTTAACTCAAAACGTAAAATAAATGGGTTTCCCTCAACACTGAAATTAGATGATGTTATTTCTAGTGATGATGATATGATTGCTGATATGTTTGCAAATTATTTTGAATCGAACTATTCTGTCGAGCCAAATGAAGAAACTTCTAGCTATCCTTTTCCACTCTCACAGTTTGACCACATCCGTATTCCTTCAATCTCTGCTGACAATGTTCTCCTTCATTTGAATAGTTTAAAAAATTCTTTTCTAAGCGGTCCGGATGGTATTCCCTCCTGTGTCCTAATAAGTTGTGCAGATTATCTATATAAGCCATTAACAAAAATCGTCAATGCTTCTCTAAAGCAAGGAGTTTTCCCCTCTTTGTGGAAGGAGTCGTATATCCAGCTGCTGTATAAAAATAGAAGCAGGTCGAATATTGCGAATTATAGGGGAATCGCTAAGCTGTGTGCCATTTCTAAAGTATTTGAAGAGATCGTTACGGAAGAACTGTCTCATTCCATAACGCCTGTTAGCGATGTATCACAACACGGCTTTTGCAAGGGCAAATCAACTGTATCAAACGTTCTTGAATTCACTACAAATGCGAACAATGGTTTCAAAAGTAACTATCAAACTGACGCCATTTACACTGATTTTAGCAAGGCTTTTGATAAAGTATCACAATCAACTC